GAGCCCGGCATGGTGGCACATGCCTTTAATCCCAGCACTCGGGAGGCAGAGGCAGGTGGATCTCTGTGAGTTCAAGGCCAGCTGGTCTACATAACAAGAAGTTCCAGGTCAGCTGAAGCTATAGGGAAACCCTGTCTCAAAAAGACCAAAAAAAAAAAAAAAGACAAAGTCTCAGTCTGTAGCTCATGCTATCCTGGAACTCACTATGCTCACTATGCAGTCCACGTTGGCCTCCAACTCTTAATAGTATGCCTGCCTCAGACTACCTAGTGCTAGGATTACAGATGTGAGCCACCACATACAATTTCAGAGACTTTTTTTTTTTTTCAAAAAAATTTTTCATAAATGTTCCTCCTTAAGCCACCTTGAATCAGTAGAAGGATGCCCAGAAAAAAGCATGTACTATGACATAATGACATAGTCATCTTTGTTAGGTAATCTAGGGTTTTGTTGTTTTAAAGGTGTGTGTGTGTGTGTGTGTGTGTGTGTGTGTGTGTGTGTGTGTGTATTGACTGGATGTGCCAGGAGGGATACCCATGTGAACACTCGCAGAGACTGGAGGAGGGCACCAGGTGTCCTCCTTTATCACTCTGCCTGTTCTTTTGAGGCAGATCTCTCTCTGAACCCGGGACTCATGTTATATCTTGGCTAGGCAGGAAGCCAGCAAACTCCAGTGATCCTCCTGTCTCCTCACCACAGGACTGAGTTACAGGTGTGTGCAGGACACCTGGCTTGTTCTGTAGGTGGTGGAATCCAAACTCCAGTCCTCGTGATTGTGCAGGCACTCTTAACCACAGAACTTGTCTCTCTAGGTTTTGTCCTTACGTTCACATAATCCACGTTTTCTTTCCTCTCTAGTAATGCAGGAATGCCATGACATCCTACAATTGTTAGAATAAAGGACACTGGTGTCCGACTGCTAGAAGCCCACAGCTGATTTTCCTCCAGTTCTTGCCTTTCTTTCCTGACAGATGAGCTCTTGAGGCAGGCAGCAGAGGTCAGCTTCAGCTAATCATTTTTCGGAATGATCCTTATGTGCCTGCTTGTAACCTTTTAATTGATTACCAGAACAAGAGCTTAGAATGAAGGTGTTCCAATGTGATTCTACTTATCAGCCACTAAGATAGTCACTGAACTCATTGCAAGGGAAAAACTCCTTAATAGAATAACCTGTACTACAATTTGTCAGCATTTATTTATTCAAAATAAAACTGCGCAGTGGGCCTCGGGGTAGATTGTCCTTCACCATAAGGAGCATTGCATATGAAATCTTACTAATAAATTATTCATTTTCTGAAACTATAATGTCTCTATCCTCTGGTCTCTCTGTCTCTTCTTATATCTGCTACCGGTATTCAGTTATGAGGGCTCTACCCTGATTACCTTAGCTAATCCTAATCAGTTCCCAAAGGCCCATCTTCCAAACACTGTAGTCAATAAGTTTCCATCCTCCTAATACCTCACAATAGGGATTCCATTTCAGAGCATTAACCCTTGGGGGACACCCTCAAACCAAACCATAGAGGCAACCAACAGCTACATGTGGCTGAACGTAGCTAATGCTACTGAAGAATTGAAATTTTAATTTAATTAAGTTAAATTTAAATCACCACTTGTGGCTAGTAGACACAATAGCAGAGCAGATCTAGGGACTATGTAGAGATAAAAGGCCCAGTGTCCACACTCTGGGCACTCCACCATTAAAAGGTTAGGGAAATGAGAGGGAACTGCTAAGGGATCCTGAAAAGTGGCAACTACCGGAGTAGGGAAAAGGCCAAGTCCATATGTCCTGGAAGCCTGGTGAAGAAGATATATCCAGGAAAAGCAGGTCATCACAGGTCAGATGTTTCTGAGGCCAGGAAAGAGACTGAGCTGTGGTCGTCTGAAGTTGGTGATGTCCTAGGACTTTGACAAGAGAAGTTCTTTAGTATTTAATATTCAAGCTGCTTATGGCTTTTATCTCATTGCTCTTTTTTTGTAACAAAAACTACTGTTAACCACACCAGTGATAATCCCAATGGGCATTCAGCAATAATCTTACTTCTTATATCTTCAGTTTTTAAATGTGTATTTAGTTTCTGGTTCCTTGAAATTCTTGGCTTCTATAATACCATATTCTACCCAGCTCAAACACTATATCTAGCACTATAGTGCTTTAAGAGTTACATTATTGTTAAGCCAGGCGTGGTGGCATACACTTTTAGTGCCAGCACTTGGGAGACAGAAGCAGGCAGATCTCTGTAAGATCAAGGCCAGCCTGGACTACATAACAAATTCCAGGCTAGGTGGGGCTACAAGGAGACCCTGTCTCAGAAAGACAAAAAATTATTCTGAAAATATTTTTTGTTATTTAAAAAATACAGTTTTGAAAATGAGTATGGTGACATCCTTTGGAGGCTTGGGAAGCCAAATGTTTGTTGAAGGCCTAGTCTACATAGTGAGTTCCAGGCTAGCCAGGGCTATATAGTGAGAGAGTATGCAAAAAAAAATAAAAAATAAATAAATAAATAAATAAAAACAGGGCCAGCAAAATGGCTCAGTGGGTAAAGGTCTTTGCTGCCAAGACGGATGACCTGAGTTCAATACCCAGGACCCACATAGTAAAGAGGAGAACCAACTCTGGCAAGTTGTCTTCTGGCCTTCGTAAGCCTGTGTCATGGCATGCACGCCTGCGTTCAGACCCACACCCCCACATAAATAAATGTAATAAAACACAAAAACCAACCAAACAACAAAAATAAAAACACTCCCCAACTGTTTTGGAGTAACAAGTGCAAGTGCATAGTAGATACAGAAGGGTATGATGAAAAGGTTCTTCTAACTTCAGGTCCTCTGCTGCCCGCTCCCCACTCCAGTTTCTCTCTGGAAGCAAACACTGTTACTCATCTCTGACATACCTTTTTAAAGACATTATCTGTGTGTGTGTGTGTGTGTGTGTGTGTGTGCGCGTGCGAGCATGCGTGTCGGGGGGGGGCACAGACATTTAAACAAAGCATTTCATGCACACTGTTCTGTTTTTCTCTTATCTTGGGCATATTGTATATGAAGAAAATATTTTTACATTTATATTTGTGTCTGGATACATACACATGGCCATGCCATTATGCGTGTGGAGAGGTCAGAGAGCAGCTTGCCAGGTGTGTGTGTGTGTGTGTGTGTGTGTGTGTGTGTGTGTGTGTGTGAAGGTGAGGGACAATTTGCTAGAGTTGGTTTGCTCTTTCCACCACATCAATTCTGGGGATTGAAGTAAAATTGTCAGGTGTGGCAGCAAGTCCCTTTACCTGTTAGGCTATCTAGCTGGCCCCCCGCTGTACATTTTTGAGAGAGAGCTCCAAGTTGTTTCACAAATGTCCTCCTACCTAGTTGATTGCAAAATAGCCACCTCTTTGTAATTTTGAGCTTGCATACTCTCCAGTGGAGTTCCATGAGTCACACTATCTGCACTTACTCAAATAGCTATAGGATCTGATTTGGTTTCCATGAAGTCCTATAAGGACAAATACTCTCTTGGTCAGTGGCTTCAGGGTACTTTGGAAAGAAACAAGGAAACAAACAAAAAGGAAGAGTAGGGTTGGGTTTTTCCATGTGTATCCTCAGACTCTAGTTTTGTGCCAGAACTTCCAAAATGGATGCTTCTTCTTGCTCTAGTTTTAAATAATGTAATTTAACAAAATTACTAGTCTACGATTGATTTTATATTCTTTGGCTAGCATAAGAAAATAAAAGCAAAGCAACTTTAATAACTTTAAAATATGATCTCATCAATACCTGAAGGAACAGATACTTGAGCCTTTTCTTTTGTTATGAAGCCATTTTGATAAAGACCAAAAGACAGAAAATAACTTAGTGCTACCCAAATGAAACTAGAGACTGAGCTAATGTGTCAGCATGTCCAATATCAAAACTGTACACAGGGCCAGGTATGGTGGTGCACACCATTAGTCCCAGCACTTAGGAGGCAGAGGCAGGTAGATCTCTATGAGTTTAAGGCCAGCATGGTCTACATCACAGGCTCCAGATCAGCCAGAGCTACATAGTGCAATCCTGCCTCAAAAACAAGCAACTACAACAAAAATTGTACATGGTTTTGTTGTTGTTGGATCTCCATTGTCTCTTTTTCTTTTTTTTTTCAAACTTTATTTATTATTTTTATTTTGTGTGTATGCGTGTATTGCCTGCATGTAGGTAAGTGTACCTGTGTCGTGTAATGCACGCAGAGGACAGAAGAGGCTGTCAGATCCCCTGGGACTACAGTTACAGACAGTTGTTAGCTGCCATGTGGGTGCTGGGATTCAAACCCACGTCTTCTGTAAGAACAACCAGTGTTCTTAACCGCTGAGCCATCTCTTCAGCCCCCATTGTCTCTTTTTCTTAGTTTGCCAGAAATTCAGAAACAAAAAATTTTAAGAAGATATGTATATAGTTACTAGATATACCATTAATTTATGTGTCCCATTCTTTTTATATAATCAAAATACTAAATGATTTTAGTCCCTACATTATAGAGACATCCAAATATACTGGTATTTTCCAAAATGCTTGGTGGTCCTTGGGCAGAAGCCACTGTACTAGCATTCTGCTGAGTCCTTGACGCAGAGCTGTCTGTGCGAGGAGATGGGTAACACAAGCGTAAATTGCTGCCTTATTGACATCATGTGCAGCACAGCTCTCTGCAGCCTCCTGAATATAAAAGAATATTTTTACATTTGGTTCTAGCAAACACCATTGTGCTATTCTGAAATCCACAGCACAGAAATTATAAGACATCCGCTCATAAACAGAAAGCAAATCACTATTCAGCATTTCCTTCTCTGTTTCCTGCCAATTTCAGATAATTAAAACTTTTTTTAAACCTTTTATTCTATTCTGCTTTAATTCTGCTTCCTCCACCAAAAAAAGAGAGATTTAGACATTGAAACTGTATATATAATAATAACAAATCTTGGCCCCTTTCTTATTTCTTAGCCTGTGACATTCTCTTTCTGTCTTCATCATCACAGACCTCAGGATATCATCGTGTTTGTAATTGGAGGAGCCACCTATGAAGAAGCTCTAACAGTATATAACCTGAACCGCACCACACCTGGAGTGAGGATCGTCCTGGGAGGAACAACAGTCCACAACACAAAAAGGTAAAGGACAAGTTTCAATCCTTCAACTCTCTCCCCTAGCCAGGAGAATTAAGCTTAAAGTCCCTGGTTCTTAGAAAGATTGCTGACCAGATTGCTGTCAACCAAAATGCTCTGGTGTTTGCAGCATCAGTTCATAGAAAAGTTTAGCATTTGTGAGATGAACCAAGTTCATAAGCCACCTTCCATCCTGTACTGTTAACAAGTTGTGTTTTCTAGGTTCAAAGGAGAAATCTAATAACCAGGCTGGTACTTTGAAAATAGCTAAAATATGGGCTAGAGAGATGGCTCAGCAGTTAAGAGTACTGGCTGTTCATGCAGAGACCCAGGTTTGAATCCCAGCACCCACATGGTAACTAACAATCATCTATAACTCCAGTTCCAGGGTATCTGACTCCTTCTTCTGTCCTCTGCAGACACTGCACAACACAGGTGCACTTACATACATGCAGGCATAAAACTCATATACATAAAATAAAAATAACTAATCAAAAAAAGTAACTAAAACATAATGGGCATTGAGTTTTCTATTTTGTTGATTAACTACATTAAATACCTACTTAGTAAGAAGAATATAAGAGTAAATAAGCTAAAGAGTCTACATCAAGTCATTTTTTTAGGAAATGCAGAATGTAAGAAGTAAGGGAATAGATGCCCGGAGAGAGATGAAAGAGCTGTGGATTTTTAGAGCAGCTAAGAGAATTAGCAGGTTTTCCATGGAAAAGATAATGCATATGCTGAGCTCTGGGCAAAAAATGGGTATATGAAGGGAGACCACATTCCACTTAGAGTTAACTCCCTGAACAGGTTACAAAAGCTGTAGGCAGCATACATATACAAAGAACTGCAAGTGGTCACCTATCTGGAATGTGTAACAAAGTAAAAAGTTTGATCGAATGAACAATTATGGAAGGCCTAGGGTATTGGGTTGAGGAATTTTTACTCTTATATAGGAAAGTGGAGAAATACTGAAGGTTGTTAAACAGTGAAATTACAAGAAATCTCTATGAATTTGTCAGTGAGGGGCAGAGGAAAGATCTGAACTAGAGAAGCAGGACAGGGTAGCTGGGTTTAGGCCTGGGACCCCAAAAGGATCTGTACTGAGAAGTGTGTGCATGGATAACCGGAAGTCATAAAACTGTTTCTGTACCCTTCATTGCATATTATTGTTCGATTTTTAACATAATTTTCCTTTATTATGGAAGTAATATGTACTTATTCTGAAGGCTTTTTTAGTTCATAGAGTACATAGAGAATAAAAGCCCTGTAGTCTAACCACTGTTGTTGGTCTTTTCAGATGTTTTTTCTAAGTCTGCAGAGGCATTTGTGTCAGTATACTAGCCAAAGGGGTCTCATTGTCTAACCTGCATCTTACAGTTTGATATGAGTACCTTCAACATTAAATTATATTATTTAAACAATATTTGAAAGGCAAGACTGTCTGGATCTGAATCCTAACTTTCCCTTAACTGTTCTTATGAAACTGGGTGAATGATTTAGCCTCTTTGTTGATGTCCAGAGCACACTGACAATTTTTATATTTATTTTCTGTGTGAATTGCCAGTTCATGTTCTTGCCCACTTCACAATTAGGGTATTCTTTTTATTTTTCTTAATAATTTTCCTATCAGAATGTCATTTTGGTTTTAATTGTGCAGTGGAGTTTTCTTTTGTAACTTGTATAAGAATATGTATAGGCTTTTTTCCTCCAGACGCCAAATACCTGGTGTCTATTCTAATGTCACTTTCCTCTTCTCTGGATGCTAAACAGTGCACTTCAGTTTTGATGCTGTCTGCCTAGAAGCAGCATCAGAGCCCGCAAGACTCCTCCCATTTCAGGTGACAGCCACAAGTCCCAGACCACCTGTACTTTGACTTACCAGCTATAAATTGGGGGTTCCCATTAACCCCTTCTCTAGGTTTAATTTCTCAGAAATTAGGAAAACACTTTACTTAGACTTTTCCAATTTATTATAAAGGATACAACTCTAGAACAGTCAAATAGAAGAAATGAGGAGGCTCTGCACACACCACCCACCCAGTGCCTGCCTGTGTTCACCAACCTGGAAGAACTTTGGACCCTGTCATTTCAGGCCTTTATGCAGATTCCATTATGGATGTAACTGATTAAATCCTTGGCCATTAGTGACTAACTTAGCCTCCAGCCATTCTGTTCTCAAAAAGATAGCCTAAAGGTTCCAAGCTTCTGTCCAGGGTTTGAGCTTTCTGATTTCTGAATCCTGGCACCCACAAGAGTGGCTTCACTGGAACAAAAGACACTTGTGAAATGCCAGGATTTCAGGAGCTCTGTGCTGGGAATGAGGACAGACGTCTTTTTGTGGCATCACATGCACATCATTCATATGGAAGAATCTGTAAATGACAGACACATCTTAATAAATATCACCATGAATAGGTCTATGCAGCCACCCCTAGTACCCCCAAGAAGCTCCCCTCCTATCCCCACAGTAATCCTGCTGGAATTTCTGTCACTATAGATTGGATTTACCTGCCCTTAAATGGTATTTTTTGACTAGATGAAGAAATACAGGCTGAGCAGTGGATTTACCCTTGTACTTGCCTCCCTTTCCCCTCCATTTTCTTTCTTTCGTCCTGGGCCTTTCTTTGATCCAATTTTCTTTGACTCGGGAATGCTTTAGTAATCCTTCCAGTTATTGGCCACCTTGATCTGTCTAAAAGTATGCTAGTTCAGTGAAGTTTAAAATTCTGGGCTGATAAATTTTGTTCAGCCCTTAAAGACAGTGGAGAGGCTGGAGAGATGGCTCAGTGGTTAAGAGCACTGGCAGCTCTTGCAAAGGACCCAGGTTCAATTCCCAGCACCCACATGGTGGCTAACAACTATACACAACTCCAGTTCCAAGGGATCTGACGCTGTCTTTTGACTTCTGTAGGCACTGTACGACACAGGTGCACTTACTTACACACATGCAGGCAATACACTCATACACATTTAAAAAAAAATTTTAAGGACAGTGGAGTGGGTGGGAGGGAGGGTAGTATGATCCTGATCCATTGTATAGTTTATGAGATAGTCAAAGGTTAAATAAAAGAGAAGACATCCCGTATGGTGGCACATGCTTTTAATCCCAGCCTTTAGGGTCAGAAGCAGGCAGATCTCTGTGAGTTCAAGGCCAGCCTGGTCTACATAGCAAGCTCCAGATCCAGCTGAGGCTACAGAAAGACCCTGACTCAAAAAGGAGAGGGAGAGAGAGAGAGAGAGAGAGAGAGAGAGAGAGAGAGAGAGAGAACAAAAAGAATGCAATATTATTTTTAATTGTTGCCATTATGAAATCTTATCTCTGCCTGCGGTGGTGGCACACACCTTTAGTCCCAGCACTCCAGAGGCAGAGGCAGGGGGATCTCTGTGAGTTCAAGGCCAGCCTGGTCTAGTCTACATATTGACATATTGAGTTCCAGATCAGCTGGGGCTACAGGGAGACCCTGTCTCAAAAAGACTGAAAAAAAAAAAAAAAGAAAGACATCTTTCTCCGTAGTATTATTTTTTGATTTGAAGGTGGCATTCTTCTGGTTCTTTTAAAGATTATCCTTTTTTATCTTTAGTGTTCTAGTTTTAATATTCTGGGTATAAATGTGGATCTATTTTTACTTATGCTACTTGTTGTGAAAACTTGTTTGGCATTATTTCTGGAAAACATTGTAGTTGCAGTTCTTTGATGTTAGTGTTCTCCCTTTGCCTCAGGTCTCTGTCTGTAACTCCATGAAATGTGCCCTAGTCCTCCACGTCTCATCTCTTTTATTGTCATTCTGGTATCTCTGTGTGCTGCCTTCTTATAATTATTTCAGATCAGTATTCCAGTTCAGTTAGTCTCTCTTCAGTTGTATGTATTCTGTTTAAATTCTCTATTGAGTTTTAAATTTAAAAAATTTTATACATGCAAGTTCCATTTATTTCTTTTCCAAATTTGCCTGTTTTTGTTAATATCCTCATGTTTTCAATTTCTTTCTTTCAAGTCTTTTAATTTTTAAGGAAAATTTTGAAGTACTTCTATAGTCTGAAGTAAGTGATTTTGCTTTTTTATGCTAACATTAGATCATGATGAAGCATTTCAGTGTGCTCTGTAGTTTTGAAATATGCATTCCTAAGTTGAAGATACATCTCTCCTGATAGTTATACTAAGAGTCTGGAATCATGTTTGTGTTCATTTCTATGTAGTACTTCAGGTTTCCTGAACCGTGCAGAGCAGTGCCAGCAGTTCAAGCTTTCTTGTTAGCACTTTGTGTACATAGATTTTTTTCAGTGTAAGTTCTTACAGGGATGACGTCTATAAAATGGACATAATCTGAACTAATGGCTTTTTTTTTTTTTTGGTCTTTTTGAGACAGGGTCTCCTTGTAGCCCCAGCTGGCCCAGAACTCTACATAGACCAGACTGGCCTTGAACTCACAGAGATCCACTTGCCTCTGCCTCCCAAGTGCTGAGTTAAGGCATGGGCCACCATACCTGACAAGCAAATAACCTTTTATATAAAATTAAGAAATAAGGCATCCCTGAAAACGCTTTCTGCAGACCCTCCTGACTACAACCAACTTTGGCATTTCTTTGTCTGATCTAACAGCATACTAAATATTTACATTTGACAGGATAACCTAACAATAGATGATCTGATAAAGTCTTGGACAAGATTCTTTAATTGGCTCCTGACCAATGAATCTTTTAGGAAGTGGGACTGGCTGTGGTAATTACTAAACTGAGGGGGAAAATTAATGTTTGCATTGATCCACTATCAGATCTTCATAGTTTACTTTTAGAAATACATAGCCTATAGCCAATAAATTAAGAGTGAAATATATTGTTAACAAGATGTTATTATTAAAATCTCGAATGCCAGTTATTATAAAGGCTTAAATAATTGAAAGCAACACAAAAGATTCAAATTTTAGTGGAAAGGCTTGATTTTCATGATGAATGTATGTTATGTTGGGTATTACTAACCTGTTCAATAAATTCACAACTCCTTTTTT